GGGGTCTACCATGATCCTCTCCTATAGGCCAGTCCCTTGGTCTCGGTGTCTCTTACAGCCTTGCGTTTGTTTGTACCTCAGGCTACTTTTGAGCACTAGATGCATTGTTGGGTGTGAATTGTAATTGACATGGAGTCAAAGGCCAAGAGCTATTCTTTCCTTGTCCAACATAGTAAGACTCCTATTAATAACATGTGCATGATTTCTAGTTTATGAAGGTGTTCATTAGCTTTCGGTTCAGCCTTAGAGGGGAGGAGAGAGGTATTTTGATTATCTCAGCCTCTTCTATGAGCCACAGGTGACCTGACTTGTTCTCCTGGCTGACTGAGGCTCAGGTGTATATTGAACACCTTCAGACTCCAGTCAGTGATCCTTGCATCACCCACTCCTTCAACTCTGCAACACTCATCCTCTGTTTTGGGTGTCAACTCTTCTGCCTCTTTATCTAATTCAGTGCTAGCTCTTGAGAGTCTCTGATATTGGCATGTTACCATGTCAAACAACTGTAGGGGCTCTTGGGTACAGGCCAGAGGCGCGAGATGGTGAGAGAATTCACCAGAGACAGGAGGGAGCAGAACAGGCAGAAGGATCGAAATATACTTCTGAGGGGAGCAGCAAGGAAGACAGGAGAGGTCTGCCTTGCCATGTGGGAATCTCCCTGGCTGGCCGGGAATCGAACCAGTGCTGCAGAGGCTGCGGACAGCTTTACAGCTCTGCACTCAACCCGCTGCGCCACCGAGGAGGCCCCTGGAAGTTATATTGAATGATAAACACCATTCACTGAAAGTTTTCCCTGCACCTTTCCACCGCACGGTAGCTCCTGGTGTGTGCTGTAGTGATCCATTTTCCCCTCAAGAGGCCATTTTGGCTTTGTTGTGCTGTATTGTAGCTGTATGTGGAGGAGGCCAGACCAGTATTTTCACTCCACCACCATCTTGGCAAACTCCTTAAAAATGTTTTTTTGTGAATTGGCTTTTGTAGCCTGCCTAGTTTATTTCTACTAGTTTGTTTACTAGTTTGTTTCTAATAGTTTAGTGGAGTCCTTTGGGTTTTCTATGTAGACTATATCATCTGCAAAGTGATAGTTTTGCTTATATGTTTCTCTTGCCTAATTGCTCTAGCTAGGACTTCCAATGCTATGTTGATTAGTGTAAGTAGATATCCTTGTTTTGTGTTTCTTTTAAGAGAAAAAGCTTTTCATTTCTTAACATTGAGTATAACATTAACTGTGGGGTTGGTCTATACTATTATACTGAGGTATATTCCTCCTATCCCCATTATTTGAAGGATTTTATCATAAATGGATGTTGCATTTCGCTAAATGCCATCTTTGCATCCCTTGATAACATCAGATGACTTGTGTCTTTCCTTTTGTTGATGTGTATTACATGGACTTATTTTCAGATATAAATTGTCCTTACAACCCTGGAATAAATTCCACTTGGTCAACATGTATGATCCTTTTAATGTATTGTTGTATTCAGTTTCTGATTTTGAGTACTTTTGAATCTATGCCCATCAAAGATATTGGTCTACTTCCTTTTTGAGATATCCTTGTCTGCTTTTGATAGCAGAGCAATATTGGCCTCAAAATGTGCTTATTCACCCCCTCTTCCTCAATTTTTGGAAGAGTTAGATGAGTGGAGGTATTTGTCGTTAAAAGATTGGTAAACATTCTGCAGGAGGAGGAGAGGCATCAAAACAGAGAAGGGAAGAGCACAAGGGACTATGGTGATGGTGCATGGGTGAATTGGGGGTGGGAAATTTACAGGGACTGCACCTAAAAGGAGAAAACATACATTGCACAAAAATGAACAATGATGTAAAATATATATTAATAATTAAAAATAGTTTGGTAGAACTCAAAGGTGAAAAACTATCTGTTCTGGACTTTTGTTTGAGCAACTTGCTAGCTGAATTTCCTTGCTTATAATTGGTCTGTTTCCTATTTCCTGATTCAGTCTCAGAAGGTTGTTTACCTCTAAGAATTTGTTCATTTCCCAGATTATATCCACTTTATTGGTATATAGTTATTCATAGTAGTATCTTATCCTCTGCATTTGGGGTGTCTATTGTAATTACTCTTGTTTCTGATTCTGTTTCTTTCCACTTTCTTTGAGTCTATCTATAAAGTTTTGTCTTTTTTCAAAGAACTTGGTTTTGGTTTCATTGGTCTTTTGTACTACCTTTTTGATTTCTATTTCGGCTGTTAATTTCTTATTACATTCCTTCTACTGGCTTTTGGTCTTGTTCTTTTCCTTAAGACTAAATCTGAACTTTTGTTTCTTGATATTGACTGTATTGCTACATACTTCACTCTTAGTGTACTATTGAGATTCTCATAAGATCTGATAGCTGTATCTTCATTTTAGTTTATCTTTAGGTATTTTTAAAATTATTTGGTGTCCTCATTAATCCAACAATCTTTCAGTAGTATGTTGTTCAACTGCCACATATTGGAGTCGTCTCCTTCAATTGTGGTCAGAGAATACACTTGATGTGATTTGAATTTACTGACACTTCTGTGATCCAATATGTGGTATATTCTAAAGAACAGAAGATGCGCACTCCAGAAACTCCAGAAGAATGTGTAGTAGAATTGTAGGGTACAGGGCCCTCTAAATATCTTTAGGCCATGTGGTCGATTTCTTCACTTAGGGTTATTTCCTAATCTGTCTGGTTGATCTGCCCATCGATGAGGGGATCGTTGGAAGTCCCCTAGTCCTGATGTGTTGCTGCTAATGGCTGTTTTGTTGTTGACAGTTGCTTTATATGTCTTGATAGTTCTTCATTTTATATATAAATATGGCATATATGTCTTCCTAATATATTCATCTTCATCTGTCCCTTGTTACCTTTTTTTTTTTTTTTTTTTTTTTTTAGCTGAAAGGAACAGCCATAATTTCATCAGTTAAAACAGACCTTTCTGTTTTTGGATCCCCATTTGCTTGTAAAATTGTCTTCCAGTCATTTACTTTGAGCCTATTTTTATCTTTAGATGGGTATCCTAAAGACAGCACATAGTTGGGTTTTGTTTTCTAATCCAGCCAACCACTCTGTCTTTTGAGTTCAGTTCCATTTATATTTAGGGTAATTAATGATATGAGGATTTGACTGTGCCACTTTGTCTCTAGTTTTCTTACATACAAAAAAAATTGAACAATAGGATTTTTTTAATTCTGATTTAGATAACAGAGCTCCTTTCAACATTTCCTGTAGTGGGGCCCTCCCCACTACATGATAAATGCAAAGAAATGGGATGGATGGGATGTGGTGGTGTCTAGTTTGGCAAACTCCTTTAGTTTCTGTATGTCTAGGAAGGTCTTTATTCTCTCTATCTAAAGGAGACTCTTGCAGGATATGGTATTCTTTGCTGAGTTTTTGTCTTAAATGTCCTTCTATTTTCTCCCTTCTTATGGGGGTTTCTCCCAAAAGTGATGTAAACCTGAAGGGAATACTTTTATAGTTCACCTTTGTTTTCCTTAGCCACTTTCATTGTTCTTTCTCTTGAATTTTATCTTGGTGTAGGTCTTATTACATTTAGGTAATCAGGTGTTTTTAATTTCATGGACTTACATATTTAATTTCTACAACTTTAGAGCTATATTACTTCTTTGAATAAGTTCTTTGCCCCTTCCTAAACACCCATTATCCTTCTTGCTTTTCCTAATGGGAGTAACTACCCGAAATGTTAATTTTTGAAGTATTCCTGTTTTTTTCCCCCTTATCTTTGATATTTGTCATCTTCAGCCAGATCCTTTGTGCATTCTCTTCAAGGTCACTGACTGGATCCTCCATTTGGCCTGTTCTACTCCATAGCTTTCTCTAGAATTTCAGCTGATCTGTTTATCTTCTTACATCCTTACATCTATTTTCTTATAACTTCAATTTCTACCTTTTTAACCTCCTCATATCATTTGTTTTTCTGACCTTTTTGTGTGTGTGTGTGTGATTCTCCCATGTTTCTTCCATTTCTTTGCATTTATCATGGCAGGAAGATAATCTTCCATGTCATCTTGGTTGGGTTTTGGGGAGTTGTTCTCCCTGTGATGACCTAGTCACTTGAGGTCCGAAGGTGCCATGTGTACTGTATTTTATTGTCAGCCCATTTTACTGCTTTAGAAACTGTAGCAGGAAATTAATTTCCACTACTTCTCCAGCAGATGGCACTGTGGTTACTTTTGTCCTTTCCTAGTTCAGCTATTGGCCCTTGTCATCTACCTAATCGGGAGGTCCTGACACCTGATCTTGGAGCTGGATGAATTGAGGTAGGGAGCCCCCAGATGGGTCCAACCAGTGGTATGTGTACACTGGAGGAGAGGATAGTTGGCTGGTGTTTTGGCGCTGCAAACATCACTCTTGTCCAGACCCAAGAGTGTGCTGTCTACATTGTCTAAATGCTGCCGGTGAGATATTCATGAGCTGTCAGTCCCAAGGCGGGGAAACACACTCTTTTCTAACTCACTCTCTTCTTCAGACCTGGCCTGCTGGGTGAACCCCAGCTCCTTCACCCTTTTTCTCTCAGTTAAAGGTGTGTGCCTCCACACTGCTTAGCTCTCCCTTCCACAGGCTCATTTTGGTTGGCAATTCTTGCATAAATTCAGTAAGATGGTTTCTCTACAATTGCTATTACTGAAGCCTTGACCAGAAAGTCGTATTTGAGGCATATCCAAACTGTTTTCAGGAATTCAAATTGAGCTTTCAAAGAAAAGGCAGACGGAATGCCCTTTCAGTGGTGAGACCCCCACATGGTCCTAAGCTCTCTAAAGCCCTCTGTAGACAACCCAAGAAACAACCCAATTACAGCCCAATCACTTTTAGTAACAACTATCTGCCCCTCCCCCATCTAAAAAGGGGCTATTGTTTGTGTCTACCTTGCAACTGCCTCCACTACCTGGAATCAAATACTCTCTGCAGAAATTCCTTGTGGTTCAGTCTTTAGCTTTCTGAGTAAAATGAACCAGTTCGGGCTGGTAACAAATCCACTGGCAATATAGTAAACTTTAAAGAATTTATTTCAACTTCACTCAATTATTTTTTGGAATGGGAATATTTATATACATTATTCACCAATAAATGCTTAATGCTCTAAATTTACAATTACCTATTTTGCAGAAACTTGAAAATCATTCCAATGGAAAAAGTACAAAAAACTTTGTAATACAACGCAAAATATTAAAAATTTAACTTTTACAGCAGTCAAAACCTTTAACCAAAAATTCAGTCCTTCAGTCTCATAAGTTTAACAAAATGGTCACATTCCAATATAAGTATTTCGAGTAACACTGGGAAAGACATCTGGTGACTCCTAAAATATGGTAGACTAGCAACCCTTCCCCAAACTCAAAGCTTTGTCCTTGATTAGTTAATCTGTTGAAATTGACCCAATTTTTAAAAGTTTAAATGGACTCTTATGATCAATATTGGTGATTTTTACTGGTAACACTAAGATTTAAGAACTCCAACAACAAGAATCAGAAAATGACCACAATTAAAAAACAAAAAAAAATTCCTAAGGACTGACTTCTACAGTGTCACGTGATACTCAACATTAATAGTGTTTCTGAATTATATTTTTTCACAAACATAGCACCTCATCTGGTAAACTCTTTGCAATCACAATAAGGGTTGGGAGCTAAGTTCCAAAGAGAATTTTGTGATTCAGTTAAGGTAACATTGCAAGACAAGTCTCAGGCATAATCAAGAGTAGGAATGCAGTCTGCTGGTCCCAGACTGTAAGGTGAAGCTCATCTAAATGGGCATCATCTTAAGACATGGTATTACGCTTCCAAAATCTACAATGAATAGCTGAGTAGCTAAGCAATGAAATTGGACTCTTGCTTTACAAATTGATCTGGTAAGTGTACTTGTAAAACTAAAAAATTTTTCCAAAGGTTCAAAAGATACATCTCCTTATTCGAGGTAATTTTGTTAAAAAGATATGAAATAAAGTCCAATTGTGATTTGTAAAGTTTCGGTGTAAAAGCTCATGTATTGCAATGCAGTACACTTTTGGGGAGTTTTTATAAGCTATACTCTTGACCTGAAGAATCACTCTTCTTATGCCTGGGAGAGGGCGTGGTCTTCGTCGGAGACGGAGATGCAGTACCGGGTGAGTCAGTCCCTCCATCAGAAGTACTAGGTGAGGACGCCAGGTAGGGCCCTTTCTTTCTTCCAAGGAATACTCCTCCTTCGAATCCTCCTTTCTTTCTTAACTCAACTTTATTTTCACTTTCTTCTTCTGAGGGCCTTTTCTTGGATTCTAGAAAACCCTCAGCTATTTTATGTGCTTCAAGAAATCCACTATCTGTTTCTCTCAAACCTTTTACTTCTGTTCCTGGAGACTTTCTCTCAGACACATTACATTCCCCTGTTGCCCGTTTCACTTCAGCTTGTACTGGGCCAAAGTTACCATTTTCAGGGACGGCTCTCTCTAAATTTCTGTTCAAATTAATCGTCTGAAAGTCCCTATAGCTGTGGAAGCTCTCAGTCCTCCTCGCTCTCGCTAACAATGGACTCTCTCTGTAAGGCCTCATGGAGCCGTAAGTAGCTGCTTCATGGATGGTTTCATGGTGCTGGAGCTGAAGGCTGAAATACAATTTTTAAAAATTATAAGCCCCTAAATAATCTTATTAAACTACCAATAGAAAAGACTTGGGAGCAAATTATGTAAATGAAGAACAGCATATCCTTATGGGAAAACTTTAATTTAGTATTTGGTCCTTAGTTCAGGTTATGAAATTTTAATGGAACAACCAGAAAGACATACTTTGTCACTGTAGTAACAAGATAATGTTCTCACTTTGAACAAAAGCTCCATATGCTATACAAGGTGACACTGATTTTTCTAGCTTTCTTTGAATTCCTGACCATAAAGAAAAATTTAGAAGGTTAACATCAGCATACTGTGCTCTGAATGATGACTTTCAAGAACAATTATAGTACCTCAGCCAATTTTCCTAAAAGCAACCAATTCCACTTATGATACAATACTCAATTCTTTAGCCTACCTGGAATTTGATTCGCGAAGACGGCTATGCTGAACCACGGAGGTTGCAGGACTGATGTTAGGGGTAGCACAGCGAGAGGTACTCAGGTCACACTGATCCAGTAATTTGAGTAGCTCTTCTTCAGTGGGGCCACCTACATCTTAGAAAACAAATCCTCATTATAAACACACACGCCAACAGCTTACCCTGTGACAAACAACTTTCCCTATGAACCTACCCTTGTCTTCACTTTTGTTAACCATATCCATGGCCGTGGTCAGGTCCCACATCTGAATGCTGCCGTTCGTATGGCCCGTGAACAAGTAGCGCCTTGGCCTTGAGCCCATCCTACTGGATCCCTCACATTCTCTCACTGTGAATGAGGATATTGTAGTACAATCGACTGCCTGGATCTCACAGATTCTGCAAAAGATATTAGAGTTGTAAACATCTTACAATTAGTATTTGCAGAGTCACCACATTAGTGTGAGCTGCATGGCTGGGACTGCGGGGGAGTCATGCCTGCCTGCACCCAGAGGCGTCCTGCTCTGACACTGAGGAACAAGGCATACACATCACCCCTGGGTATGATGAAGCTTGAAATCATTTTTGTACACATTCATCAGACTGAGAATGTCATTTAATTTTAAAAATCATAAGTAGGATTGAACTTTTTGTCAAGCTGATCACATAATTGTTCTTACTGCTGTTAAGGTAGTGGACTACATCTGCTTTCAATAGTATCTGCAAATGGATGCAAAGTTTGGGCTAGCCCTTATATTACTCCTTTAAAGATTTTAAGGTTTTCTTGCACACGTTCAATAAAACCCTTTCATTCATTTCTATTCTCAGTATTTAAGAACCTGAACTGTATTTAAACAGTCTTGCTTCCTAAGAGGCTCATTTCTTATCTACAACTTCAAAGTAATTCTACAACTCCACCTCTTCCTGTAGAATTACACTTAACATTTATAAAAACTGTGCTACGCAGAAACTGGTGTGATAACACACTGCTACTATTTGAATAATGAGAGGAGGGAAGACACTAGAACTACACAAGGATCTGAGCTACTACATGTCACAGCCATCTTACTAAATATTTGGCAGCTTCTTCACCAAATATGCCCACAACATTAAACTGGTGACAACATTCTCAAGATAATCATTGGGTCTCAAACTATTTTACATGTTCCTAAAGCATTTTGTTGAAATGTGAGTCTAGGACCTAAAAATCACTGCTAAAGACTGTGTGTGCAAAGAAATAGGATGGAAAGGGAACATATTCTATTTATTAAAGGTAGCTGAGAAATTATTTAAAACAGCAGTGTTGGTAACTAATAGGAACTTTCCTCTTCACTTGTTTGGCAGGCAAAAAAACTTGTGTTTTTAAAGAGAAATATTAAAAAGCTCAATGTCTAATCATCAATTATGACTTCAGGCTTTATAATAAAGGCACTAGTATGCTCTCAGTTCATTTTGTGTGTGATGTAAAATAGAGTGGTCTAAATTTCATCTGCATGTGACTATCCATTTTTCCCCAGAGTAACGCACTGAGCTTTTTTTCAGTCTGCAAGGTGGCTGCTGAGTGTCCCGCACGGGCTCCGTAAGTACCGTTTTTCTTGCTGCTTTTCAGATTTTCTGCCTGTCTTTAACTTTTGACAATTCATTTATCACCTTTCTGCAATTCTCTGCTTTTCTGGATGTGAATGTGTCTCCCTTCCCACTTGAGGGAAGTTTCCGCTGTAAGTTTTCTGCTTTCTCCCTCCTCTTGGGACGTCTGCGGTGTGAATGTCGCTCACCTTGCTACTGTCCCACAAGCCCTGAAACTACTCTCTCCATCCTTTTTTTTTTTTTTTTTTCCCTCCTGCTGCTGACCTGGTGAGGGTCACTGCCCTGTTTTCAAGTTTGCAGACCTGTCTCCCACTCCCCGGGTCTGCTCCTGAGCATCCGTCTATTTTTCACTTCAGATACTGTGTTCAACTCTCTAGTTTCTATTTGGTATTTTCTAACATTTCTCTTTCTTAAAATTCTCACTTTGCCCTAACATTCCTCTCTTACCTCTGTAAGGACTTTTCTGACCACTATTTGGGACTATTTTATCGTGCAAAGTACTCCTCCACTTCACTGAGGTCTTCCGAGTGGATCTTGTGCTTTCCTTTAGAGAAAGTCTCTGCTCTCACTGTCTCCCTGTCTCCGGTGTCTGAGCTCATTTTCTTGCTCTCGCTGTCTCTAGTCTCTCGCTCGCTCTCCCTATCTCTGCTCTTCCTCTCCCTCCCTCTTGCTGTCTCACTCCTTCTTGCTATCTCTGCTCTCGCTGTCTCCCCTGCTGTGTGGCTGTCTCCGCTCTCACTTTCCCGCTGTGTCTCGGTCTGTCTCCCTTCCCATCTCCGCTGTCTCTACTGTCTCATTTGCTCTCCAGTCTGTCTCTCAACCTCCGCTCTCCTGTCTGTCTCATCCCCCTCTTGCTGTCTCTCCGCTTCCCTCTGTCTCCTGCTCTCTCCGCTCTCCCTCCCTCCTCTCAGATCTTCTCTCCTTGCCATCTCTCCGCTGTCTCTGCTCTTCCTCTCTCTCCTGCCCCAGCCCGACTCGGCTGTCCATCTCGCCCTCTCATCTCTTGCCCTCCACTCTCGCCTCTCTGCTGTCCCCTCCTGCTTCTCCACTCTAGCCTGTTTCCCTCCCTCTCGCTGTCTGCCTCCAGGCTCTGCCTCCATCTCCGTCCGCCTCTGCTGTCTCCTCCCGCTCGTGCGATCTCTCCCTCTTGCTCCTCCGACTCCGCTGCCTCCCTCTCCTGTCCCCTGCGTCTCTCCTCATTTTCTCGCTGGGTCTCGGTCTCACTGTCTCCTCCCGCGCTCTCCCCACTCCAGTCCGGCTGTCTCCGCTCTCCTGTCTGTGTCTCTCGGTCTCCGCGTCTCTCCGCTCATTTTCTGTCTCCTTATCTCCCTCTTGCCATCTGTCTCCACTCCCGCTGCCTCCTCGAGTCTCCCTGCTCTCCCATCTCTCACTGTCTCCACTCCCTGTGTCTCTCAGTCTCCGCTGTGTCCCGCCCTCCACGCCCACGGTCTCGGCTCTCATTTTCTCACTGTCTCTCTACTGTCTCTTGGTGTCTCTGCTCCCGTGTTCTCACCGTGGCCGCTCCCTCTTGTCTGTCTCGTATTCTCTGTGTGTCTCTTGCTTGCCCGTCTCTTGCCCTCCACTCTCGTCTGTCTCCACTCTCGCTGCCCTAATTCTTTGTCTCCTCCCACTCTCATGGGCTCTCCCCATCAGTTTCTGCCTCTCCTGCTGTCCTTGTCTCGTCTTTTCCTCTCTTGTCACCGTCTCTGTCTCCTTTCTCACCGGCTCTGCTGTCTCTCCACTCTCCGGTCTGTCCCCGCTCATCCCCTCTCTGTCTCTCCATCTCTGCTCTCACTGATCTCGCTCCATCTGGGTTTCACTGCCTGTCTGTCTCCTCTTCTCTGTCCCTCTTGCTGTCTCTGCCTCCACTCCCTCCCTCCTCATTTTCTCGTTCTCTCCACCTCTGCTCTCCTGTCTGTGTCTCTCGCTGTCCCCTCTCTCCACTGTCTCACTCTCGTCCTCCCCTCCAGTCTGTCTCTCCTCTCATGTCTCTCCGCTCTCTCCCCATTCCCGCTGCCGCTGCCCCGCCACCCCCATCTCCTCCCACTCGCTGTCTGCCCCCATCTCCGATCTGTCTCCACTCCCTTGCCCCCAGGTCTCCTGTCCCCTCTGTCCACCGTCTCTCCTCTCATTTTCCCTCTGTCTCCTTTTCTTGGTCTCACTGTCTGTCTCCTCCCGCTCTCTCCACTCACCTCTCCTTCTCTGCTCTCATGTTCTCGCTCTCTCCACTCTTGTCCGTGTCTCTCCTTCCAGTCTGTCTCTGCTCTCCCTCCTGGTCTCTCTCCCGGTCTCTCTGTCCCATTTTCTCACTTTATGTCTCTTGCTGTCTCCACTCCAGTGTCTCTGCTCTTCCTCTGTCTCCTGCCCCACCCCTGACTCCGTTGTTTGTCTCTCCCTCTCGTCTCTTGCCCTCTGTCTGCGCCACACTCTGTCTCCTGTCCCGTCTCTGCTGTCTCCTCTCCACGCTCCCGTGTCCTCTCTCCTCTCATTTTCTCCCGGCGTCTCATCTCGTCTCGGTCTCACTGTCTCCTCCCGCGCTCTCCCCACTCTAGTCTGTCTCTGCCTCTCCCTCTCGCTGTCTCAGCTCTCACTTTCGTGCTGTCTCCGTCACTGCCTCTCCGCTCTCCCAACTCTCTCCCGTGTCTCATTTTCTCACTCTCGCTCTGGTCTTCTCACCACTGCCGCTCCCTCTTGCCTGTCTCTCATTCTCTGTCGCCGTCTGTCTGTTTCTCACTGTGTCTCTCGCTGTCTCTCCACTCGCTGTCTCCACGCCCGCCGTCTCTGCTGTCTCTCACTCTCGTCTCCCCGACTCCGCTGTCTCGGCTCATCCCCTCTCTCCTCTCACTTCTGTCTCCCTCCGTCTCTGCTCGCGTTTGCTCGCTGATTCTCTACTCTGTCTGCGCTCACTGATCCCTCTGGGTTTCAGTCTCTGTCTCTTCTCTCCCTCTTGCTGTCTCTGCTCACATCTTCTCCTTGTCTCAGTCTCACTGTCTCCACTCCCACTGTCTCTGCCTCCGCTCCCTCCCTCATTTTCTCCTTGTCTCCTCCCGTTCTCTCCACTCTACGGACTCTGCTCTCCTGTCTGTCTCTGCTTTCTGATCTGTCTTTCCTCTAATGTCTCCTCGTATGGCTCTAGTCTCCGCTCTCTCCCCGTCTCCATGCCCCGTCCCTCCACTGTCTCCTCCCACTCGCTCTCCGCTCTCAGCTGTCTGCCCCCATCTCTCCCTCTCGCTGTCTCTCCATTCTCCCTCGCCCCCTAATCTCCTGTCCCCTCTCTCCAACTCTTCTCATTTTCTCGTGGTCTCTCGGTCTGTCTCTCCACTCCAGCTGTCTCGTGCTCTCTCTCCGTCCCCTCTCCTGTGTCGCTGTCTCTTCTCATTTTCTCACTGTGCGCCTGTCTCTTCTGTTCCCTCTTGTCTCTCCACTCTCCTGTCTCTCTCACCGTCGTCTCTCGCCCTCCACTCTAGTCTCTGCTTGTCTCCTGTCCCACCTCTCTCTGTCTCTGCTGATTCTCTGTCTCCTCCCGCGCTCGTGCTCTGTACTCTCGTCTCTCTCCCTGTGTCTCATTTTCTCGTTCTCTTCCTCTCTCCTGTCTGTATCTCGCTGTCTCCACTCCTGCTGTCCCCTCTCTCCCCTTTCATCTCTCCCTCTTGCTGTCTCATTTTCTCACTGTCTCCACTCCCTCTCACCACTCTAGTCTGTCTCTCATCTCTTGCCCTCCACTGTCTTCTCGCTGTCTCTCCCCTCACTCTCTGGAGTCCATCTCTCGCTGTCTTCACTCCCTCTGTGTCTACTTTTTCGTGCTCTCTGCTCTTTCTGATTCTCCCTATCTGCTTCATTGGCCCCCTCCAGTGTCTGCCTGCTCTCTCCCTGTCTCCACTCCCTCGCCGCATAGTCTCCTGTCCTCGCTTTCTCCACTGTCTCTCACTTTCCATCTCTGCTTCTGTAGTCTCTGTCTCCTTATCTCCCTCTTGCCTTGCCGTCTCTCTCCACTCCAGTGTCTCTGCTCTTTCCCTCGGTCTGTCTCTTGCTTTCCCCGTCTCCACTACTGTCTCTGGCTCCATCTCCGCTCTTATTTTCTTGCTGTGTCTGTCCCCTCCTGTGCTCACTCCGTCTCTGATCTCGTTCCCTGTCTCTACTCTTTCCCCCTAACTCCAACCCCGCTGCCTGATTCTTCCCCAGTCTCTCATCTTATTTTCACTCTCTTCCCTATCGCTTTTTTTTTTTTTTTAAAGATTTATTTATTTAAGCACTGGGTACGGTCAGAAGCACGGGGGGGGGGGGGGGGGGTGAGGGAATTCACGGGGGGGAGGGGAGGGGGAGGGGAGGGAGGGGAGGGGGAGGGGAGGGAGGGGAGGGGAGGGGAGAGGGGAGGGGGAGGAGGAGGAGAGGGGAGGAGAGGAGGGGAGGGGGAGGGGAGGGGGAGGAGCAGAGCAGCAGGCGGCAGGAGAGGTCTACATGCCAGGTGGGACCTTTGCCGGTGGCCAGGACTCGAACCGGCGCTGCAGAGGCTGCAGGCAGCTTCGCAGCCCAGCGCTCAACCGCTGCGCCGCCTGAGGAGGCCCTCTAGTGCTCTATCTTTAAAACACATGTATCTCTCCCCCCTGCCTTGATCTGTTTCTCCTCGCTATTTCCCTACCACCTCTCCATGCTATCCCTCTCCTAGAGACAAGAAGGCGCTTGCTAGAGCTTTATCCTTAACTCCTCCCATGTATGTCTTTGTGCCTCTCTCTCTTTGCTGCTACTCTACCTCTTCTGTCCTATCAGACAAACTGATGTGATCAAATACTTATTTTTGTTATGAAAATGTATTGAGTAATTACAACTTCTGAAATAGGAATATGTGTACAGTTAAGTGTTTTGTTACCTTTTCCCCGTGGAGGAAAGTCGTACAAACAGCTTGTTAGTGATGGGAACAACTTTCTGGATAAACACCTGTTGATCATCTCTCTCTCCAAAAGGCCCTAGGACAGAAAATGTCAAGAAATAAATTTTAATAGACATGTTTTTAAAAAAATTAAAGTTTTTTTAAAACAAAACTACAGAGGAATGAAATCTCATTGCCCCCTTTTAAATATTTTCTTCCACACTACAAGCCAGTAATTGAGGATCTTCTCGACATAACTTTTCCCAAACTAGCATGATTCTCTTCCTTTGCCATGTTATCTTACCTGTGAGTAATGTTCTAGAGCTTTCCATGCCCACCAAATTCCAACCTGTCCTTCGTCTCAGTTCAAACATTAAGGTCTCTATAAAGTGTTCCATTGGAACACTGGTTTTCATCAATGTTAGGGGTAGATGTTATCCCCACTTAAGTCGGGGTGCTGTACCCCAACAGTCTGGCGCTAGCTCCTCTGGGTACTTCCTTCATCTGGTACTTGTGCACACTATGGAAACACAGCTGTTTCCTTTTTAGTCTCATGTACTATGTTGCAGTTCACTGCGGTTTCAGATTTCACACACTGACAGTGACAGCATTTCGTAAACATTCATTCATGCTAGGCCGTAAGCTTATAAATAACTAGAATCTTTATTATGGGAGCATACTCTGGTTGGACGTAAAGTTAATGGTTCCGTGTAAAAAAAAAAATTCTGATATACTTGTCTCCCTTAGAAATGATAGCACTGCTTACACAAATCAGAAAGGTACATCAGTTAACCAACAGGTCCTACAGAACTATTGAAAGTACAGTGATATACAATACTCAATGTATACACAGCACAGCTATTCAAATGCTCTTGAGGAAAACAATCTGGGTGAGAGGAGAGTCTCCACATGTACCTGAATATGATGCCGCACAGTCAGCTCCCACACACCTACCCTGTGCTGACACACAAGCGTGTTCAGGGAAACATGCTACATTGCTCCCCACAGATACTAAATGAGCACCAGCCAGCTACTACAAATTTCATTTTTAGATTAGCAGTAAACTCAAATTTCCAATGTGTGCTGTTAATTATAAAAACAGTGCTCATGAACATTTTGAAATGTTAGCAGCATTCCCGCCTTTAAGATGAAAATGCTGAATTTGCTTTAAATGAGTTTCAGAGTGAAAATGAAAAAACTTTTTATAATTCCACTAGCTACTGTGAGCAACGCAGAAGTGCCAACATCTGTAAATGCCCCCAAGTTAACTTACCAATGTCATTTCCAGAGGAATAGCTTCCGTGACTTTCTGTCTCCTCCAGAGAGAGTATCTTGAATGACGCTAGAGGGGTAGAGCCTGGCTGAGTAGAGATCATTCCTCGGAACCGTGTCACTGTCCATGTGCGGACATGATTATTATCTGCACAGACTAGGGCAGAAAGAACAGGAGTTGTTGAATATAGACCATCAGAGCACGGGCAAAGTCAGTTTTGCAAACTTTTCAGTATGATCCATTTTAAACAGAGCATAGCCCAGTCTGAGTGGCAAATGACATTTATCTGAAAATGATAACCAGTAAAAATGAGACCTGAATATGGTTTACCTTACTGCAAATATCAGGTATGAAGGTAAATCTATGAATCCTTATAATGTAACCTGTAGGCTGAATATTATCCTCTTCTGTGACTAAACTACAGTGAACAGGTTGCCAAGTTTATTTTTCCCAACCACTTCTGCTACTCAAATATTAAACCACTTAGATCAGGTGCTATTGTTGCTCCCTCAGTTACATTCAGGAAAATCAAAATTTGGTGCTAGCACTGATAAATTATGAGTTTGAGCAAATTTTGGCATATGATTTAAATTCAATTTAATTGTCATGTTTGGAATATTAACTGGGTATATACCGAGACATGTCCTTAGACTACTTACTTATCTGTTGTTTGTCTTTTCTAATGCAGTATCTTCAGACCAAAAAATGATAATCATATTGAAAGAACTGTACGCTTACGGCATGCCTTAATAAAAAATGTAATTTGCCATTTATTGCTATTTCCCAAAATCATAATAAACTATGAACTCATCAATACTACTTCTGAAGTTAATCCTGACAAATACTAAGGATATAAAGTATACTTGTATAGCAAAATTCTCAGAACATAGTTCTCTGATTGAAAAGAGGACAGACAGTGCTAGGCTGGTTCATCAGCTTCATGGGAAATAAGATGAATAGCAAAACCAGGAAATTAAGTATTTAAGACATGAACACTAACATTAAGGAAACAGGATGTCATTTCAGACATGTTGATACCCACTAGGTGGCAGAGTAAAAACTGAATTAACATAAAATGCTCCAGTGTTCTGGTTAAACTGGTTATTGCTCTTGATGTTAAAGTGCAAATTTTACTAAGTAGTTCTCTGACATCACATCCTACAATAAAATGACCATTAAAATAATAGCAACTACCAGCAAGAATTTTTAAGCTCTGTCATTTAAGTATCACAATAACCACATAACATAGTTACTTTCTCACTGGATAATTACTTCATTTTACACATTCACTCAGTGGCAGTTTATAGTAGAAAGTTTCTGCTACTGTAGCACTTATATTCTAGAAGAGGGAGACATAAATCAAGTGATAGTCTATAAAAAAAGCAAATAGAGACACTGATAGAAATTAACTAGAGGTTTGGGTAACCAACCAGAAGTTTCACTGAGGAAATATTTGAAAAACTAGAGGCAAAACATTTCAAACCAAGAACTAATGCACAATTTCTGAGGCATTTTTAAGAAATGGAAAAGTCATTGTTAGTGTCAAAGGCAGTAAGAAATGTGGCATGAAGAGAGAAGACTTGGAATTGAAATCTAATTTGCATTTTTAAGATATTTCTGATTGCAGTTTGGAATATGTACTGTAGAGAGGCAAGATCAGGAATGGACTGGGACATCCAGGAATCTAGGGGAAAAATGAGATTCACCAGGCTGGCAAGAATGAATGCACACAAAGTGAAGTCATCAGAGCTATGACCTATGCTGACGCTAAGCTAAAAGGACTGACTGACTGCAGCTGTGTGGGAGTGAGAAAGGGCCAGTTGCAGGTGATGGGATGCCTACACACTTCAGCGTGAATAAAAGAGCTGGTGATGACATATACTAAGATGGCTTGAGAGAGAAATCCAGTGCACCATATTACCCAGGTTAATTCTGAGAGGCTATGAAACATACAAGCAGCTGCATATGTTGGATGTACAAGTTTGGAACTCCGGCTGCGCACAGGTGGAGGGAGTCTGAGAGTCACACAGGTCAGCAGGGAAAGAACAGAGAAGCTAGGAAAAACCTGAAGCAATCCAATACTTAGTAACTGGGCAAAAGAAGAGGAAGCAGCTATTGAGAGTGAAGCACTCCTCGATAAGGCAAGCATTAGTTGAGTATGAAGGCTTAAGACATGGTTTCAGAATGCATAATTATCCTCAGAAACATTTAGACTTTCAATTAGGACATATCAACCCATTCTAATACCACTCATGGACAAGATATTTTGGCTCCATTTGATACTTAGATGGAGAATAGTAAAAAAATATCACTCTTTACTATTGGGACTCTTCATATAAACAAACCTGATAAAACGTTAAAAAAAAATCAGAAAAGAAATGACCTGCAAAAGATTTAATGGAAGACTGCTTTTAAAAGCAAGCTCTATGGATATACCTGACTCCTAGTTCATTTTTCAGTCTTTCTGAAATCATTTGTCACATACGATGAATCTCATTAATGGAATCTTACCTAGTGACCATTTTACTTTGTTGTGCTTATTAAGCTTGAAAATGTGTATCTAGTTAAGAATCCAGTTAATACCTAAATTTTAAATCTTACATGACTCCAAGGAACAACAAACTCATAAAAATGTTTATTTCAAATCTACACAATTCTAATATTTAATATTCTTAGAAGGGGCTCAAACATCAAATCTTAAAAATATTAAACCTTAAGGCAACCAAATTAATATTCGTATTTGGAAAGTTCTCTAACATGGAAAAGCTCTCTAGCCGAGAAATTAAACAGGATTATGGTATTTTGAGATAAAGTATGACATAAGAACAAATTAGAATAAAGAGTAAAAGGTGATACCTCCTAAATGCATGTATACTATAGCCAGCAAAACCAACACTTTAGAAGACAATCATAACATTCCTGTTATTAAATCATTCCTTGCTACTAGAAGTTTAATGTTTTTCTCACATAAAAACTGCTTTCAGGGGTCTTAAAAACACCCCTGGCTGGGTTTCTCACACGGCAGACTCTCACCAGCACCGACCCATTGCTCACCTGACACAAGGTGCTTCTCCGACAGCATGATTTTCGTAACGGGGCTCCGGTGTACAGTGAACGTCTGGAACAGCTGGGGGCCTGACCCCACTGTCTCCGGATGCTGCACAATCACGCGCACTGCTCCTGAGCTCGTGCCGTAGGCGATCTCAATCCAGTTGCCGCTGACACCTGCACAGGTCAGAGGAAAGGTGGTGTGTGAGATGATGGAGAAAGTCAGTGCCCTGGCAGAGCTACCCTGGGAGAAGAGGCAGAATTGGGGTTGGGGCTTCTGCCAGCCCCCAATCCACTTCAGCACAGAAAATTTAAAACCTCGCTAGACTCCTAATAATCGCTATTTCCTCCATCTTCTGACGCTCACACCACTGTGGGACTGGCCATCCCCCCCACCCCCACACTATATATTAGGTTCTCACCTAGCAACTGACAGCAACTGTGACACACCGATTTTTGCATCTAAATCCATGTCTATCCACCCCTACTCCTGGGTGACAGAGACCAAATCTCAATCATCTTATCACCTTACAGAGAGCCTGAGGCAGCAGGTGCTCAACATGTATTTAAAAAATTTAAAAATCTGACAGACTAAGAACACCAATGGCCCACAGCATTCCTAAAGCAGTGTTACTGCTAGCCTACAGTTACCATGTATTATTACCTTTGCTACAACACTGAATCTTTCTAAATCAAGTAGTATACATACTATTTGTTTTAAAAATTAACTGAAACAAATATATCCATTACATGCTTACATCACACTTACCTGTGAAATATACAACTCATCACTCAGGTTCATCTATGGCTTTTTTGTAACAAGTGCCCAGACCCCATATCAAATACCAGAATGGAGTTCAGGGACCTATATTCTCGGAAACCTCCACAGAGACAGAAAGAACCTGTTAGCTTTAATAGCTATTCTTTCAGATTCACCTGAAAATACTTGCATCAAAGGAAAGACATACTGTGGAGAACACTTCTTGTAACTGAAAAGATGATCCATTCTTATGTCTTAAATTCCCCTGCCACTGCAAAGAAGTTTTATCCTGCCTTTTTAACTAGAGTAAGAAAAAAAAAGAAAAGTACATCTCATACTAGAGTGGGGGCAGCAAATGTTCTGTAAAAGTTTAGAGAGCAAATCTTTTTAACTTTGCACCCACAAATTGTGACACCACTCAGCATTTTCTGTGCTACACAAAGTAGCCAAAGACAATGCATCACACTATTAAAAAGAGCATGGTGTGCTGACCCCCCATTCTAGAGCAATATGGTTTAAACCGTACTATAACTTTATAATTTCAGTGATGCTTTTACACAAATAACATTCACACCTATTTACATTAGTAGATATATGTAAATATTTCCTAGAATTCCTTTCATTATAAAATTTAAATTTTCCATTTATCATTCTTTCCCTCTAAATACAACTCAATTTACAGAACTTGCTTGCTAATTTCACTGCAACAGTCTCTGAAAGGCAATGAAAATGACTGTGAATTTCCAAATAAAACGTTTACTCCCACAACCAAGTTTTCCAAGAGTTGTTATGGGAGAGTGGGAGGAAGAGGGGCAGGGGAGAGTTAAAAGTAAAGTTGCTGATTTCAAAATGAAATCAGCTGTTGTGGTAGGAAGGCACATGTCCAGAAAATTTAATGCAGTATTAACTGACAGTAACCATACAGCTTATTAACACATACAACTTAGAAAGGGAAAAGTTCTAATTTCCCAGCCCAAGTTGCAGTTATTTACTGGTCAAGTTTACCTTCAATATAAAACTGAATATAAACTTTATACTAATAGATGAAATCTATAGCACTGCAGTTCTCAAACAGAAAGGACTGGAAGAGTATCAGCTTAAACCACAAGCACACACATCTCAAAAAACTTATTTGTAATTTTGCAATGGACTGACTTGTCTTGGGTGTGAGGTAAACACTCAGAGCAGTAATAGCATCGTTGGAAGGATCATGATAAAGTTCTGTTACAAGAAGATCATTGTCCTTCATTCGCAAAGGAAACTTCTGCATATCTAAAAAATAAAATTTAAATAATGTTAAAATAGTGCACCTATTTAAAACTAAATAATGCAATGCTTTCTTGTTTTCGCTTAAGAAGCTCCTATTACACAGGATGTGGTAACGCGTGCACTCTTACCAATGTAATATATGGATCCGTTGTTGCATCCCAGCAGGAGGAATGACCCAGCAGTGTCATAACTAGTTATAGGAACGACATCTTGAACCTGATGTGGTGAGATTATTACTAGATGTTATTAGATATTACAATTTATATGCTCTGCTCAAATATTTAATAAAAAAGACAATTTTAAGACTTAGAAAGTGAACTTTCTTTGCATACCAATATGTACACAGGGAACTGAAAAGCCCCAATGTGGTTCCTGTAAAAGCTTTTTTAAAAAGTTGTATTTCTGGGCCTCCCTGGTGGCCCAGCGGGTTGAGCGCAGCACTATGAAGGTGTCCACAGCCTCTGTAGTGCCGGTTCGATTCCCAGCCGGCCAGAGAGAAATCCACATGGCATGGCAGACCTCTCCTGTCTCGCCCGCCGCTCCCTTCAGCAGTGTATTTTGGTCCATCGGCCTGTTCTGCTCCCCTTTCTGTCTCTGATGAATCCTCTCACCCTCCCACACCTCTGGCCTGTAACCCAGTTCTTATATAAAAATAAATATATCTTTAAAAAATTAAAAGTTGTATTTCTAACAGCAGTACTTTAAGAATTTAGGATTATTTCCTTTTTCTGCACACGATTCTGAGATCACAGCACACACTGGAAGGCTGAAGTGGTGCATATGAAACTTCACAAATGGGGTTTAAATCAAATACATTTTATGTATCAGATATTATCCAAGTGAACAAGTACTGGGCTAGATAAGGGATGTAAGAAATCATTTCTGCCCCGTAGAAGCCTGTAAACTTGTGGTTGAGAACAGGAAAGCACATTACAATCTGACAGGTACTAAAACAGAGCGGGTGATACAATCGCAGAGGAGGGAGGTGTCATCTCAGTTCTGGTTAGAGGGGAGAAGGGCACAGATCTAGGAAACAATCAAAAAGGAGGTAAAGTCTGAAAACTGAACAAGTCAGAGGAGACGGAAAGGGCCAATCTGACAGAACAGCAGGAACAGAAAGCACAGAATTGAAGTTCATCTAATTTAAAAATTTTTCAGGAGAGTTAAAACTAGGGAATACAGATTCCTCTCTACTATTCACGTACGGGACCCGAATTTCAGCGTGGACAGTCTGGTGTCCTGCCTGCTCTGATTACACTAAAAATGTGTCTGTGAAGATCAGGCAGCACCTCTAACCTCGGTCAAGTTCCTGTTGCATCAGAGCCAGGGAAACACCAAAAACTTTTCACTGACATGAGTAAAAAAGTGTCAAAAGCATGGAGGGAGGTCACTTTACACCCCCTCTAACCAATTTTCTCACCGAGAGTTCATCTCTTTTAGCGCTTGAACTCAAGAACTTCCACTCCCACCCCAGATTCTTCGCAGGAGGATGGGGCTGCATGAGACCGTGAGATTCACTCTCCCTTTGTACCCATTCTTCAATGAAAGAGTGGTGGCTTCCCAGAGTTTCCCCAGGCATATCAAGGACAAGTCGTTTCACGATTTGTTCTCTGGGAGGATTAGAAACCTGCAAGCTGGTAGAGAACTAACCTTCCTACCTTTTACTGGAACCACTGACCTCTAAGAGTCCTGGCTCTTTTTTTCGTGCCTACCCCTCAGTACAAGGAGAAAAGAGAAAGTAGAGGTAAGAAAGGTTACAGAGCAGTTACGACTAACTACACCAAGTGCTTCTCTCCTGACATAAAAGCAAGGAGTCAGTCATTCTGCAGCCTCCTCTTCTGTACTTGAGAAATCATACTGGTTAATATTTTGGGTCAGTCCTGGTCACAAATTTATGGTGAAAGCAAGTTTTCTTTGCTAAGGTACCACATTGACTTGTGTAAATTTGAGTGATTTATAATTTAAAAATAATCATTACCTTCCAAAGCCCTTCACCTGAATGCCCACAGGAATCTCAAAAAAAAAAAAAAAAATGTAACCAATCTAATTATCCCCACAATGTCCACCACCAAGTCTGCGTCTCTTCCTATAGTCTCCTTCACTGTCCAAACTAGGATATTCTCTCCTTTAACTTTCCTTATCTAATCACATACCAATGTGTCATTTCAGGGAGGCTTATGTACATTTTTCAAATAGTCTTATCTCTGCTGAGATGAGCTGGGTGTCTGCTGCTTTGGTTGGACTGTTCCCCTGATGTCCAGCCCATCTCTTACACCAGTTGCCACTGCCATCTTTCTAAAACATGGATCTGATCATGTCACACTCTGCTTAAAGTTCTTTCATTGTTTCCCTCTCTCCTTCAGAATTGAGTTTTAACCTTTTCTGAGTCTCCATTCCTTCTTGTTCCTCAAGGACTTGAGAAGACTGAGTATGGTATCGACTCTGCAAAGGATTTGGATATTCAGGCCAAGCTGTGCATCCATACAGGAAATGAAGTGTATCTGGACTCCTCCCTCCCAAGACATGGAATTTAAACAGCTCAAATGAAGTTTCAAACCACGTTTAAAACATGCATTTTACAGCTTGCCTCCAAAGACTGCCCACCTATATAGACAAGCATCTCCTTTAAAAAACCTGCCTCTTTGAGGCACAGTTCTTCCTGCCCACTTGTGTCTGTACAAGTGTCATCTCCCTTCCTTTTTTTATACAATATACCCATCCTTTAAATATTAAGACCAAAACAACAAAAAAAACCTCAACCCATTTTGCAAGGTAACAAAATTCTTGAAAACCTATGTACCTCGAAGCAAATCCGCCATTGAACTGTCAATATTCACTATAATAACAGATATGAATTCCACAAGAATAAAACAAATGCATAATTGACATGAGTTTCTGAAATATTTTCATTTCTGTAAATGCTTCAGTTCACACTAACCTGCCAGTGCTGAGTGACAGCATTCCACACGCCCACCTTTCCTGTGTGACTTGTGGCCACCAGCTGGTTACCAATGAAGAAGAGGGCATCCACAGGAACACCAAGGCTGAACACTCCTTGAATGACAGTAAAAAAAAAAAAAAAAGCTAATTAGTAGCTAATTAGTCACCACCATTTAGAATTATTCAAATCCAAGGTTAAAAACATCTTAAGGTGACTAATTTAAAATTATTCTCATTTCTACAAATTATGTACTAGGTAGATTAGGAACCAAAAGTAAGAAACTCATAAGCTCTTAAAAGCAGATTACACAACAGCTAACACAGATAAAAGTCACCCAGGTCAGCAAACACTAATCAGGATATAATTGGAAACTATGGGGGCCCCACATTTTTAGAGACCCACACAGATGGCATCATTGCAGCAGCTGCTTTTTTTTTTTAGAAGATGGTCTACACACCTGACTTTTTTTTCTTTCTTTTTTTTTAAATTCCCTGCACCAAATCACCTGTGCCTATGCCTTGTCCATGTCCCTCTGTTTCCCAGGGTGGGGTTATTAACAGCCCCAAAGTTGTCCTGACAACTCCAACTCCTAGGCAGGGTGAGAACCTGCAGAGAACAGAGAGCAAGACTACTATAGGACAGAGTTGTGGTCAAGTCAGTGGATCGTAAAGAGTGGAGCAATTCCTCACTGAGGACCTAGACATTCAGTTCAGATTCAAAGAAACAACTCTTTAGGACAACTCCTAAGGCCCATACAGTGAGTAGAGCCATGCCTAAAGAATAAAGCTGAGGGGCCTCCCCGGTGGCGCAGTGGTTGAGCGCTGGGTTGCGAAGCTGCCTGCAGCCTCTGCGGCGCCGGTTCGATCCCTGGCTGCTCCCCAGCCACCGGAGGAGGGTCCCACATGGCGCGCAGACCTCTCCTGCCGCCCGCTGCTCCCCTCAGCAGTGTACTTCGATCCTTCTGCCTGCTCTGTTCCCCGCTCTGGCTCTGGTGAATTCTCTCACCCTCCCGCACTTCTGACTGTACCCAGTGCTTGTGTAAAATAAATAAATAAATAATAATTTAAAAAAAAAAAAGAATAAAGCTGAGAAGCTACCTGCCCTATCAAAGCATAACTAAGTCAAGCAAGCAGGATCAAAAAGATCCCCATGGGGAACTACCTACCTACCAGAACAAAACACATCTTTTACAGGAAAACAATATAATCCAAGTACTGTGCACATGCCCGGATATAATCAAAACTTTCTAGACAGAGCAGCAGCAGGATGTGACCTCAAATAAAAGCAGGAGATGACCCAGATGCTGGGAGTAGCAGACAAAATCTAACAAAACAGTTACAACAAATCTAACAAAATAGTTATAACATGTTGGATTTCATAAAAACATGAGTGAAGAAATAAGAAATCTCAGTAGAAATGAAACAAAATAAAAAAGGGCAATTTTGAGCTGAAAAATCTAATATCTCAAATGAACAACGTACTAGAAGATTTAACTGCAGACTGAATACTGAAGAAAAGGGGCAAGATAACGATAGATCAATAAAGCTCATCTAAGCTGAAAAGTAGGAAAAAAATGAGTTCTTCAGTGACAAGTAGGCTCCTATGACGTGACAGTGGTCTAACATGAAACTGAGTCTCAGAAAAAGGAGAGGGTGAGAAGGAACAGGATGGAGGGCAGGGGTGAGGGATAGGGTGGGAGGTTGAGAACAAAAAGAAAAGACCTCCCTCAGGTCTGTCAATCAAATATCTCCAGACATTCCTACAAGTCCTTGGAAACCATTCGTCTAGGAGATGCAAAGCACTATTACCAACTCAATAATAGGATGGCAACTTCATAAAAAGACACGTCTCAAAAAAAATCATACAAACAATCCCTAGGCACATGAAAAGATGTACAATATCATTAGCCATTAGGGAAATGCAAATAAAACCAATATTAAAATCAAATGCACATCCACTAGAATGGCTCAAACTAAAAAGATTGATGATGAAGTACTGGTGACAATGTGGAGCAGCCAGCATTCTCATACACTGCTAGCAGAAATGTAAAATGGTAGAACCACTTTGCGTAACAGTTTAGCAGTTTCTTAAAACATTAAGCATACACTTCTTATATGACGCAGAAAATTCCACTCTTGGACATTTACCTTAGGAAAACAAGTTATGGAAAGACTTCTACTTAAATTTTCATGGTAGTTTTATTCACAGTATGTCCAATTAAACCCAACTGTCTACTCAACAAATAAATGGATAAACAAAATTTGGCATATTGACTCAATGAAATATTACTCAGCAATAAAAAGGGATGGACACCGATACAACAATATGGGTGAAATCTCGAAAGCATTATGCTGAAAGACATAAAAGAACACAAACCATATAATACCACTCATGAAATTCTAGACACAGATATCTAATAGATAATGACAGGAAGCTTAAACTGTGTAACAATAGGGTTTATGCCAAACACCTGCATTGCTCTTGGGAATCTGGAATCTTACATATGCTAGGCAGAGCATGCGCCTGTGTGACTAGCCTCCAGTAATAACCCTGGGCACCAAGACTCTAGTAAGCACTCCTGGTAGCTATCTTACAGGTATTGTTAAGGAGTTAAGACACAAGCAATGAAGCTATTCAACGCCACTGAAGCATGAGTTCGATCCCCAGGGAGCTACCCACATGGCGAAGCAGACCTCTCCTGTCATGCCCACTCTTCCCCTTAGCAGTGTATTTCTGTCAGTCTGCCTGTTCTGTTCCCTGTTCTGTCTCTGGTGAATCCTCTCACCGCCCCCCCTCCCACATCTCTGGCCTGTACCCCAGTTCTTGTATGCATAAATAAATCAATCTTAAAAAAATAAATATAATATTTATTTATATTTATATTTATATAACATTAGATTTATAAAATTGTGAATCCATGCCACTCTTCTCACAAAAACTTTTGGAAAATACCTTTTTTCATTCAAAATATCACTATGTTACCATGCATGAGTTACTACAATTTACTATTTACCACTCATGTTACTACTATTTTTAAATTAGTATTTATACACATTTGTTTTTATTCCTATTATGGTAAGTTTTGCTAGACAAAAACTTAATGATCCCAAATGACTTCTCACACGTGCAAAAGGGTTCTTTAAAAATCTCAAGTTTCTGGTATGCAGCAGCACTGAGTGCAAGAAAGCTATCCACCCCCTCTTCAGGTCCCGTCATTTGAGAGGGCTGGAGAGAAAGCAGTCACCACCCACTGGGATTCAGAAGGGTCAGGTTTCAACTGGTGAAGAGACACGCCCTCTCTCCTAACACAGCCCTCTTTACAAGGCCTATCAGCTCACACTGAATGGTCCTGCTATCGTAAGACCCAGGAAGGATGATGTGGCCGCTCTAGCAAACTACCAGTGCAGGCTGGTTTTGATGCTTCAATCCATCTCTCTTACACTGGAGAATATTGGATATACCACCAAAATACAGCATAAAGGAAATTTTCCTACCAATCTCACGTCCACTTCCTCCATCTTGGACGCTCCACAAGATGATGCTACTCTCTGAGGCAACAGCAACCATTTTGTCCTTGTCTCCATGCGGACCTCCAACCACTTTTGCATTTAAAGCTACTCGCTCGATAGTCCAATCCAGATATGGGCTTGTAAACACTTGTTGCCATCCTGAAGATTCTTTGATTCTGTTCAGAATAACACATACGTTAAACTAACCAGCACTTAGACCAAAAAACATGTAGCAAAATAATCAAATCACAGCTACCTATCTACCTTTGTATTTATTAAAAATAAAATTTTGTTGATACAGACCATCCACAAAGTTAGAAATTATTCCTGCGGTATCTTATTATTTACATACAAAAGACACGGTAAGCACTTAAAAAGAAACTAGAGTTCTATATTTCCCCAAAGAATAATTTAGGAAAGTTCTCCAAAGTATTAAAAAAAAGTGTCACCTTTCACTTTTGTATGTAAATAAGTGCTTCTGTCATTACCTACTGGAAGGAAAAATCAACAGACACCAACATTTTAAGAAAATAGTTCTTTCATTAATTAAACAGTTATTCACTTATTAACAGAAAGCACATGTGCTCAAGTTGGCTTTTTTTTTTTTTTTTTTTTTTTTTTTGGTACTTCAGAAGACAGGCAATTAAGACACATAAGTAACCTGGTGTGCACACCCCAAGCATCCCAACACCTCGGCACAATGAGCACCTGAGGACCCCTTCTCTGATGATTAGATTTTTTTTTAAACTTATTTTTTTTTAATTTATTTATTTCTTTATACAAGCACTGGGTATAGTCAGAAGTGCAGGAGGGTGAGAGAATTCACCAGAGACAGAGCAGGGGGAGCAGAGCAGGCAGAAGGACTGATAACACTGCTGAGAGGAGCAGGGGGCGGCAGAAGTCTGCGCACCATGTAGGACCCTCCTCTGGTGGCCGGGGAGCAGCCGGGAATCGAACCGGCGCTGCAGAAGCTGTGGGCAGCTTCGCAACCCAGCGGTCAACCGCTGCGCCACTGGGGAGGCCCTCTGATGATTAGATTTTAAAGGTTTCCTTTTAAATGAAAAATCTCACAAGCCTATTCATTCTTCATATATAAGGCTTACTAAAGTTCAGATATGCAACTGGCTGATATACACACATTCACTGATGTTTTAGTTCTGATAAACATACCTAATAAAATTTTATTTTTTTTAAAGATTTATTTATGCATACAAGAGCTGGGGTACAGGCCAGAGGTGTAGGGGAGGGGGGGTGAGAGGATTCACCAAAGACAGAGTGGAGAACAGAACAGGCAGACTGACTGAAACACACTGCTGAGGGGAACAGCGGGCGAGGTCTGCTACACCATGTGGGTTGCTCCCTGGCCAGCCAGGGATTGAACTCGTGCTGCGGAGGCTGCGGATTGCTTCATAATGGGGTGCTTAACCCCTTGTGCCACCAGGGAGGCCCATAGCTAATAAAATTTTAATATTCTTTCCACCCTATCCAAATTTAGTCTTTCATATATGTATTCTATGATTACAGTGGGAGCCTTTAGATATTGAAAAACTTCACAGTTGTGCGAAAAGTACTACAGATGACCTGAAATTTTAACTATGAAAAACTTATCTAAAAGTTAGACTAAACAAGTAAGGCAAACAAAATTGTAAAGCTTCTCTTCATCTTGCCTACAAAGAATAAAAGCATGAAGAGAAAAAACTGCTCCTCTACATACTAACCCGACATATTCATCGCAAAAATTAAGCTTAGGTATTCAGTAAAGATGGTTCCCTAAGGACCTTAAGGAAATTACTTTAACTTCTTTTTGGTTAAACTTCAATGCTAAAGGAAAGCAACTGTAATTCAAAAATACATGCAACTAGCCTTCTTTTTAATTTCAAGAATTGATGATTTTCTTATAATACAATTCAAAGCAAGAGAAAAGTTTATCAATTTTCCTGGATTATATGGTCTGCAATTACCCTATTCAGCCACCAGGTGGGAGTCCCATGCTAAGATAAACAAAAATAATTTTCTAATAAAATACAAACTGAAAAACATTGAGAAATGAAATACATATCTTAGGACTGTCAAACCTGAGATCTACCTTCTGACATATTTGTATATTCCCATACAATTTGAAGTACAATATGCTTATAAATTTCAGGAATGACAGAGTTGCTAAGTAGATCCAAAAACATTAGGTTCATGAGATGTTCAATGAAGAGACACTGTATTGATTCAATGAGAATATGATCCTGTAATTAATTTAGAAATATTAATAATGAAAAAAATATTAATAATGAAGCTAAATGTGATCTAATCTTTTACAGAGACCATTCTTTAAGTTCTTTTTTCTTTAGAAATTAGGGCATTAAAAATAGTTTTCCAAACAATACAAAAGCTAAATTATGTTAAACCAGACAGTGAACTGCAGTGTTCTAACATGCCACGCACAGTGAACCAATGCTCTCAAGTTAGGACGGCTATGCAACACACATAGTCCCCTCCACATGAAGATCTCAAAGGACAGAGCAGAGGGACCATGTCTACAAGATTTTGAAAGTTAGTAAAAGTATACTGTACCTCAAATTGTATGGGAATACACAAGTATGACAGAAGATTAATGTCTAAAATTAGATCTATATGTATCCATAAGCATTTACAAAGGAGTCTTCCAAATTCAGTGAAAAAGAACAATTTATGTAATAAAAAAATTAGAATATAATTAGCTACCCACTTGGGAGAAAATATTCCTAAATCTCACAGGATACACAAAAAAATAAACTACATGGATTAAAGATCTAAAGTGAATGTAGGGCCTCTCTGGTGGCACAGCAGGTGGAGCGCAGCACTGTGAAGCTGTCCGTAGCCTCCGCGTCACCAGTTCGATTCCCGGCCAGCCAGGGAGATTCCCACATGGGAATCTTGTACCCCAGTGCTTGTATAAATAAATCAATCTTAAAAACAAAGAGTTTAGGGCCTCCCCTGGTGGCGCAGGCAGTTGAGTGCCACGCTGTGAAGCTGTCCACAGCCTCTGCTGCGCCAGTTCGATCCCGGCCGGCCGGCGAGGGTCCCACATGGCACGGCAGACCTCTCCTGTCACTCCCGCTGCTCCCCTCAGCAGTGTATTTCGTCGTCTGCCTGTTCTGTTCCCCGCTCTGTCTCTGGTGAATCCTCTCACCCTCCCGCGCATCTGGCCTGTACCCCAGTTCTTGTATAAATAAATAAATAAATCTTTAAAAAAAAGTTTAAAAAAAAATAAAGAATGTAAACTCCAAGTGGACATCAATTTACACAACAACACTGTCAAAAACTCAGTATGAAAACAAAAATATGAAAGTAAAAGCTAATATTTAGGAAATTGTGAATCCAAGTGAAGAATATACACTGTATCACTCTTTCATATTTTGGGGGGGATTTTAATTTACTGGTATCAAAGTTGTGGAAAAAAGAAAGATTACCCTCCTAAATAATCTAAATATTTTCCTCAAAAATCTTTTTATTGTCATCACGTTGATTAACTCTGCATGAGGAAATGCAGTATGTATTCAATTCTTTTCAGTTGTCACTTTGTGTATTCTGCTCTATGTCATTAACACTCAATGAAAGCAAAAGATCAAGGTCAAAAGCAAACAAACATCATCCTTCTATTTGACTGAAATTCTGCAAGATCCCAAGTCTGTCTGACAAGGAGTCTCTAGCCACTGCTGTGCATTAACAAAAAGCTGAGTCATGTCACATCTGGAAAACATTATCAGAGTAACGTCACAACTCCTCTGGAACCCCTCACCAGTAAAATATGTGAATAATAAACAGTCTAGAACACTTTTAACAATTTAGATCCCTAACATGGTAAGTACAAAACATTCCTAAAAATATTCCTTTTTTCAAATTAGTCTTGCTTCATATAAAAGTCAATCCCAAAAGAAATTACCCAGACCATTTCCATAAGACTCAATAATTTCAACCAAAATATATACAGCATACGCTCAACAAAAATATTCTAAATAAATCTCTCTTAATATAAAGGACTTTTTATTCCTTTTTATCTTATCTGGCAAATCTATCAAACATTTAAAAAAAAGAAATTTGAAGTTTTAAAAATAGATGATCTGACCTTTAAAAGACACTATGTTAATCTACTGCAGCTGTTTTTTCTTAAACCTAATGATGACAAAATATCTATATATTCTGTGATTTTTTTAGTGATTAAGTTAAATTGGAGCATTGTCTGAGACTAATCTATCCCAAGCACAGTAATTCTGAATCAAGAACCCTACAATTTCTCCAGCAGAAAAAAAAAATCATTGGTCTACATTTTTCCCTCATTTCCTTTTGGTTTCTGAGGATGCAAAAATCAGTTAAATTCAAATGAACCATGCAGGTCTGCTACCTTATACATACTGGCCTGCATCACTTCTGCCCACCACAACCGCTGACACACTCACTTCCCTGTATGGTAGTCATGACCATGTAATGTCTACACAACTATCTACAATCCAGTACAAAGGACTCCATCATAGACAGAAGATCATGAGCCTCATCTTGTCTAGCCATCTAACAATTAAATGATTCAGAAACTGGATAAAAACAAGGAGTAAGCACAAGACACAGAAGATGGATATAAATAAAAAGCTCAAGATATTTCTCAATTATATCACAACTCCCAACTGTCTGAGAAATATTTAAGACATCTTAAACTATCAGTATTTGCCAAATTACCTGTGAAAATAAAAGCAAACTAAACCTCACCAGCAGATATAGAAGTACATAGAACATACAAGGAAAAACTTGATGACAATAGCTCTCAAACCTAAAAATGTAAAATCACATTAAAAACCAAACCCCAAAATAAAAGGTATTATTAATTATACAGTACCTGTAACACACAGCGAAGTGGGCATATGCAGCAACAATCCAGTTGTGATGGCCAGCTACTATTAGCACCTTTCGTGGATCCACAGGAAATCCTGTTGATTTTAGAAAACAAAAATACTTCCATTCTAAAAGCAGGAGTGGGCAACCTATGGCCAATGGCTCTTCTGCAGGCATCTGCCTGTTCTGATGAAGTTTTGTTGGAAAAAAACGAACACATTAGTTTATATACACTATCCCTGGATCATTTCATACTAGAAAGGCAGACTTGAGCAGACTAACACAGAAACCACAAAGCTGTATCTGCCAACCCCTGTCCTAAAGATTTAGAGCAAACATATCATACACTAAAAAGAGCTGTGTGTTAAGTGAGAATTTTCAAGATACAGTTGTAAATCTGGATTAAAAGGAGCGACAAGGCAAAGGTCACATCTTTAAAATACTCAGAATCACCTACACCTAAAATCATACACATTTTTCTTTCTCTGTGTAGGTAATCTTGGCTTACCTAGCCTAACAGTTTCTTCTCCACTTTCAGGGAGGACAGGCTGGGTACCATTTCCCCGAGCTTCACCTTCTGAGGAATTGAGTCCATTCCTCGAATCGGTAGAGGATCTAGTTGGGTTGTTTATTTTACGACTAGGAATACCTATAAAAAAAAAGCAGATAATAAATTTATTTCTAATCTCACCTACCAAAAATTTAGAATTTCACACTGCAACAAAAACATGAAATTGTTATATCTTCCAACAGAGCAATTTATTGTAAATAATTGCCGTGAAAACAAAATGAATATGAAAAAACAATGAAATTCTTTCAACATATTGCTGGTATTTATGATATCATGTATAATAAAGAAGATTAAAATGTGTCATATTACATTTCACTTTTACCTAGCTCGATATAGGTATTTGACCAAATAATATGGAAAAATTAATTTAAATAGATTTATCTATACCCTATGTATGCAGCAGCACTGTCCACACTGCCAAGTTATGGAGCCATTCCAACTGTCCTTCAACAAACAGAGAAATTGTGGAATATATGCTAGTTTACTGAAATGAATCAATCATTAATTGTTCAATCTGTCACTAGTCTTTAACATTTATGGTACAGTTACTATGTGTTAGATACTGTGTACTAATTTTAACTGCTTTAGAGTTGAAATGCTCCATACATTCAATACCTTTTATTTGCCAGGGAAATCTTTTCTGGAATGAAATCTTGCTCAGAAGCCCACTGTTACATGGGTGAAGGCAGAACTCTTCCAACTAGCGCAAGTGGGGGTGACCTGCTTCTCACCTGCACACTGGTGCACTGACTTACCTCTGCAGAGCTTCTGGGGGTCTATAAAAGAGACCTAATGCCCTAACATAGAAGGCTAATCCAGCCAGACAGCCATTTCTGTAAATGAAGCTACATTAAACAGTCACAGCCAGTCTGGGGTATATCTGGCAGAGTTGAATAGTTGCCAGTCTATTTCCAGTTATTTAAAAAGAAAAAGCAGACAGTAAAGGAATAGTTTTATACATCTGTACTTACTTAGTGATTAAAAAATAATGTTAACACTGAATAAATGATGTAGAAGTACCTGGTGGAGGCAAGTAACCATGAAAAAGGACACTGCCACATGACGAACGTTCCAATTCTTCACATAGGAGAAGTCTTCGTACTGAAAACATTTCAAAGCAAACTTGTCAAGAGTACATACAAACAGAAAGAGCACTGCATTTTTGCTTTCCCTGATTGAAGAGGATAAGAAAAGTCTAAATTAGCTGACAATATCTTTTTACCATGGAAAAAGCAAACAGTGACCTATTCCACCAAATATTAGGCCCTGGCATAAAATGCATTTCATCTGGGCAGGTTCAGTGCACAAGAGGTCAATTTGGAATTACAAAATACTAGGAGAACCATACCTAATGGAGTGATTCCATAAAATTCCGCTTCATGCCTAAGGACATTAATACTCACTCCCCTATAAAAAAAAAAAGGAATGATGTCAATCTCTGACACTGGCAACTTGAATGAACACAAGAGGGAGGAAAACAAAATAGTAGGTTCTTGCAGTGAACAAAGTCAGAAGGCTTTTAAATTTATTTTCCTAATATTCTTATTTGAAAAATATATAGCTGTACACCAACAAACACAATTTCTCACTCAAAAATCATCCATACACAGATGAATTGGACAATCAAATGAGAGATCAAGGCTTTATAGTAACAATTGTCAAAAAGTATTAAATGAATATGGCAAACAACTAGGAATCATTCTTATATGCACTAATTGCTTTTAATTTTTACTATATGTTCCTTGTAGTTTTTTACCAGAATTATTTCTATACATATTTTAACCTCTTCATTTATAATGTAAGCCCCCTGCAAACATGATCTGCCTCTGATTTCTCTTTGCATACCCTGCATACTGCCTAGCATAGAGCTCGAACTACAAGTTAGACAATAAATATGTGGTAAAAAAATAAATTCAGAAAATGATTCTTCTCATCAGAGTCCAAAAATAAAAACAAAATACCAAGCAGGGGGTTGGGGAGTACCAGATTAAGAATGGCTCTGTTATTCAGATGAACATTTACAACAAAGCAATATGAAAATAAAAGTAAACAGAAACTTAAGATTCTACAATATTAATGATTCAATTTAGGTGTCAGTTATTGTCTATTCTTACTTAAAAAAAGGGTATCAGGGCCTCCCTTGTGGCACAAGGGATTAAGTCTCTATTGCACTATGAAGCAATCTATAGCCACTACAGCACAAGTTCGATCCCCAGCCAGGGAGATAACCCACATGGGGCAGCAGACCTCTCCTGTCTCCACTGCTCCCCTCAGCAGTATTTCAGTCAATCCACCTGTTCTGCTCTCTACTCTGTCTCTGGTGAATCCTCTCACCCCCTGCACCTCTGGCCTACACCGGTGCTCTTCTATGCATAATTTTTTTTTTTTTAAATGGAGATGGAAGCATCATACTTCCTGACTTCAACTATATTACATAGCAACAGTGATCAAAACAGTATGGTACTGGAACAAACCCAGAAACTCAGACCAGATGAACAGAATTAAAACCCCAGAGATAAACCCACAGATATATGGACAGTTAATCTTTGACAAAGGAGCCACAACCATACAATGAGAAAAAACAATCTCTTAATAAAAGGTGTTGCGAAACATGGATAGCCACTTGTAAAAAAAAAAAAAAAAAAAAAAAAATGAAACAAAACCCATATTTAACTCCAAACACAGAAACTCAAAATGGATTAAAGATCTGAATATAAGAACCAAAACCATAGAGTACTTGGAAAAAAACACAGGATACAAATAGGACATCTATCACAAAGATGTGTTTGGGAATACAACCCCAATAGCCAGAGAAATAAAAGCAAAAATAAACAAGTGGGACTATATAAAATTTAAAAGCTTTTGTACCCAAAAGAAACTATCAAAAAAAAAAAAAAAAGCAACCTACAAGACAAGATGGAAGAAAGTATTTTCATCCCATACATCAGACAAGGAGTTTATCTACAAAATTTACAAAGTTCTTACACAACTAAACAACAAAGAAACCAACCAATTAAAAAATGGTCAAAGACCTAGACACCTCTCTAAAGAAGACATTAAGATGGCCTACAGACATATGAAAAGTTTTTCACATCACTTATTACAAAGGAAATGCAAAGTAAAACCACACTGAGATACCACCTCACCCATGAGAATGGCCCATATGAAAAAGAATAAAATCAACAAATGTTGGTGAGGTTGTGGTGAAAAAGGGACTTTGAATGCCTTGGTAAGAATGCAAGGTGGTGCAACTCCTGTGAAACACCATATAGAGATATCTTAAGAAAATAAAAATGAAAATCCTGTACCATCTGGTAATAACTCGATTAGGTGTTTGACCAAATAATATAGAAACTTTAATTTAAATAGATTTATCTATATCTATGTACACAGCAGCACTGTCCACACTGCTAAGTTATGGAGCCATTCCAACTGTCCTTCAACAAACAGAAATAGTGGAATATATGCTCAATGGAGTAAAACACAGCTGTGAAAAAGATGAATGTGGCATTTGGAACAAAATGGATGGATGTGTGGTGATTACATTGCATGAAATAAGTCAAAAAAGGGAAAGACAGATATAAGATGACTTCATCTGTAGAATGTAAATAACCAGAAAACAGGCAAAGAATAGTAGGATTAAATCTTGAACTAGGTGTAAGAGTATAATGGTTTCAGAAGGAACAGGAGTCAGGGAAGAAGGGATGGGGGCCAAGGCAGATGGAGAATGGGCACTGGTGGGTTTTGAAGGATGAGTGTAACATGAGCAAATATGGGGAAAAAAGAAAAAAATTGTTACAAACCTAAAACTGGTCTTTAAAAAAAAGAAGGGAAAAGATTCCATGTGCTTAACAGACACATTCAACTGTGATACTAAACTGCTTTTATTTGTGAAATTGCTTTTGACCAGTTTAAAATAAGAACAGTCAACAACTGTGTATTCTTTTCAAAACCTTCTGTGTGAACAGCACACCAGGACTGAGTGATTACAGGTGATTCAGGATACAAATGACAGTTCTTGAGCAGCTCCAGTCTCCTGGGAGGACAGGGAAATGAATTTGGTAATAACAATACAGTGTGCCAAGAGCAACAGGAAAATTTTATGCAAGGAACAGAATGGGAACACAGTAATCGTTCCCATCTTCTACTGGAAGGTACCACACAGAATTTAATTTGCTATGCCTCCTTAAGTGAAATAAGGCTGCCATTTTCTTTTTTAAAAAGGTAGTAAATGCAGATATTTAAACTAATTCTGCCTAACAACAGAACATCCAGTTCATAACAAGAACATCTAATATGAATTACTACACATGGTAATCCAAGTTAGGTATCTTTAATCAAATGCTATGGGTCAAATAACTTTACTAAAGTATTAATAAACTACTTCCCATTCCACCCAATCCGAGGCCAAAACCCAAACAAACAAAAAGTGTCACCAAACTTTCATTTGTCCATTAAATGTCCATTGCAGAGCTACTACATGCAGTTTTAACACTGGGAGTACAGCAGAAAACAAACCAGATAGAAAAATCCTTGCCTTTGGTAGTGGATATGCCATGGTAATATACATAAAAGAGGTGAAGAGATGTGAACCCCTAAATCATATACAGAGTTGTAAATGAACATGACCTTTATAAAAGACAGAATTAAAAAAAAAAAGAAAAAAAAACATTAAAAAACCTTTGCCTTTTGGCACACTGTATTGCTCATACATAAGCCAAAAAGTATTTATTTAAAAACAGCTCAAATAACAATGAGAAATTTTAAAGTTGTAGCTAAAAATATATAATTTGCTAGGACTATATCAAATAAATAAAATACAAATTAGATTGTGGCAGGAATCTGGATGGACTATAACAAAGTAATGCTAAGAGTTCAGAGGCTCATTCATTTACCCCAAAATGCATGTACTGAATCCAAACTACACATCAAGCACAATGCTGAATCCTGGTAATTAAACAGTGAACAGTGCCTGCCCTGTTGGAATATAAAGTCTCATGAAAATAAAGCTAATGAAGAAAGCAGTGGGGAAATGACCTGGAGGGATATAGGGATGAAGCAGGGACGCTTCAGAGTAAGCTACAGGAGGAGGGGGGGTGGCCTCTCTGAGAATTGCATTCTGAGGAAACTTTAAAGAAAAATAATATCAGGAAAAAGAATGCTTCATAAAATATACCCAAATCCCACATTTATCAGTAAGAATTTACTTTAGAAGGATGTAATTCTTACCTTAAGTCTAATTCTTTTGTCCGAAGAAAATTTAAAATGGGTGCAAATGCTGCTGGATCTCTGTCAATAAATATCTGTAAATGAAGATTTTATTTCAAATTATAAACTGAACTTTTAACTTTAATATCTGAAACACTAACTTAGGGAACACTGGAACTACTTAAAAGCTTTTTTCCCTTGATCCTATCTTTAAAGCTACTACCAGAGCCTCCCTGGTGGCGCAGCGGTTGGGCGCTGGGCTGCAAAGCTGCCCGCAGCTTCTGCAGTGCGGGTTCGATCCCCGGCCGCTGGTGAGGGTCCCACATGGCAAGACAGACCTCTCCTGTGCACCCGCTGCTCCCCTCAGCAGTGTATTTCTTCGTCAGTCTGCCTGTTCTGTTCCCTGCTCTGGCTCTGGTGAATTCTCTCACCCTCCTGCGCTTCTAACTGTACCCAGTGCTTGTATAAATAAATAAATCTTTTAAAAAAATACATATATATGGAAAATGCTTAAAAAACATGATATACATAATAGGTTAACTTTTTACAGGAATGTACCCAACACTGTTTTGAATAATCAAGTTCTAACTATAAAACTGAACATTTATATAGTTTACCTAAATCAATTAAACAGGGGAATGGTAGCAAATAATAAACCTCTTTATATTATCACCAATGAGACATTCACAATGAATGAGGTTCTTCTAGATCATAAATTCTTGCTTTTGTTTTTATTACAATCAATCTCATACAAAAATTGAAGAAATACCACAGATTTGTGGCAATCTTATCACTCGATGTCTTTTTTATAGTCTCCCAAGGACACAGCTGTTCTTGCTGCTCTATTTCATCAACAAGTTTTACACTTCTTCTCTCTGGCTACTTTGGTACCTCCAAACAGAAAAAGCCCTTTTTCTTTTGCAACACTGGACATGCACATAATGTTTGCACATTACAATCATGCCTGGCAGGGAGACCTCAGGAGAACCCATCAGAACCCATCAGAATCCATCCTGGGGCGATTTCCTCTGTGAACCTGACAGCACTTGATCAGGATACATCTAGGCCACCTGCCAGGTCACCACGCATGTGCAGTTCGTGTTTGTGCACAACACTGTTAGGTGATACACTACTAGTGAAATCACTCTTCGAATGTATAAACCAATTTTTTTTGTACTGAAACTTAATTCTTTACCTCACCCATTCCATCATTGTCACACAAGCTCCTAAGGTTATTCTCCAAAAATAAACTGTAGCACTTAACTAATTTTCAATATCTTACCATTCAAATTCAATGTCAAAATATTTTAGTATTAATGTTCATCCATTTATTTACTGTATTAACATGTATACATACAGCCTACAATCTCTAATTATTAATACTTAAATTGCTATATTTTAATTGCTATATTTATCTTCTGTAATTAAAGAAACATTCTATATATGACAAAAATAAACTTTAAACATATTTCACTTACATTTAGAGGTTAGTAAAATATGAGCTTTCCTATCTTCTTAGTCACTGTATAAGGATCATGCATTATAAAGACTAATTAATCTAATTCAGAAATATATCTTAACATTATACTCACAGCACCAGTTTCATCTCTAAGTGTTGAAATTCTTCCACTCAGCAAACTACAAGTCATTAACAAGCTAGAGTTAGTTTTTAAAATCTGAGTATCAATATGTCCTAATTCTTTATCAAATGTCAAAGACCAATACAAATAAACCTATCTCCAAAGTAAAATATTCTATTTAAAGCATTAAGATTTTTCAATGAATAAAAACATTAATTTATCCAGTAAGAAATTTTTATTATTTTGATAATCAAGTGTATTAAAATGGTACTAATGTATCAAAAATAGGGGCCTTCCTGGTGGCACTAAGTCTCAGCACTATAAAGCTATCTGCAGCCACTGCAGCACAAATTCAATCTCAGGCCAGGGAGCTAACCCACATGGCGCAGCAGACCTCTCCTGACTCGTCTGCTGCTTTCCTCAGCAGTGTAATTCAGTCAATTTGCCTTTTCTACTCCCCACTCTGTCTCTGATGAATCCCTCACCACCATCATGCCCAACCTCTGGCCTACACCCCAGTTCTTGTATGCATAAATATATCAATCTTAAAAAAAAAATCAGAAATACCTGGAAAAAAAAGAATCTGGAATCCACATTAGAGTTTGTCTTGAGGTACTAAATCTGCAATTGAAAATTATCAGGTATTACAAATGAGAATATTGAAATTTCATTGTTAGCTAACTGTGTAAGTAGCTGATGATTTACAAACTAGCTGATGATTTACAAGCTTGTGCACAGCTGTATCAATTATACTTATTACATTTAATACTTTTAAATTCTGCTTTCAATTCAGAGTTAAAAATAATTCAAAGAGCTCTCAACAAAAAAACAAATTACTGGCATATAATGCTCCCAAGCATGCCAATCTGCTGAAGAATCAACAATCAGTCCATCAACAAGTCTAAGCTTGTCAACATTAACATTCAAAATTATCTGCAGGTCCCCTTTCATCTAGCCAACACAAACTTTCCCCTCTAGTCAGAGACTACTTAATATTCCCAAATGATTCATGCTTCCTACCATTTTGGTATCTCTGCCCCAGCTACATCACCCCTGACATATGCAATAATCCAAGTCCCAAGCAACTTTCTTGGTTGCACTCACGTTTTACCTTCTCTATGGCTTTTCCGATGTTCAATTCCATAATCTTTTTGAGCTCAATAATTCCATTGTACATTATGCATATATGTAGTCTTGGGCTACTTGCATCTTGGGCTACTTTGCATTCATTCAAAAATCATTCAATAAACATTGCTGTTTTGAGGTTAACTCTCATTTGATCAAGTCTGCTTATAACCAACAATTCTGTGGGAAACTTTAGCAAAATACACAGAGCCGAAAATAAATAAATAAATAAGTAACTGACATGCCAAAGAATGCAAGGTAGGGCTCATGTAAGCCAGCCCTTGTTTGAGTATAAACTCACTGCAGATATAGTCCTACCATCTGATGACTGTTTGAAAGCAGCGCCTCAGCCATTTAAGCAATTTAAAAAACAGTCACAGTTTCAAGAAAATATGGCAAATCTTTCCAAGTGTATCTCTTAGTATATTGTTAAAAGTGAGCAGATACAACTAGTCACAAGAAACTGACTTGGTCAAACAAATGAAAGTAAATTCAGTCAATTATGAACTGACCTCTCCAAGGGTGTACAGCAAAAATGAATCACTCTGTTTTGGAAGTCATTAAATACATTCCAAATGAGGATTACTTACAACTTGGGACCTTTTACATCCACTGCTTTTACTGCAGATTGTTTGCCAAATAACCCAAATTCTTCATAATTTAGAAAATTACAATGCTGGGTTTAAAATCACAATGGCAGGGCCTCCCCGGTGGCGCAGCGGTTGAGCGCTGGGTTGCGAAGCTGCCGGCGACCTCTGCGGCGCTGGTTCGATCCCCAGCTGCTCCCCGGCCACCGGAGGAGGGTCCCACATGGCGTGCAGACCTCTCCTGCCGCCCGCTGCTCCCCTCAGCAGTGTGCTTTGGTCCTTCTGCCTGCTCTGCTCCCCACTCTGGCTCTGGTGAATTCTCTCACCCTCCCGCGCTTCTGACTGTACCCAGTGCATGTATAAACAAAACAAACAAATAAATAAATAAATAAATAAAAAAAACATGCCTCTATAAAAAAAAAATAAAATAAAATAAAATAAAATCACAATGGCAATTTCAATTAAAACAAGCAGTTTGGGGTTATATAGTAAGAACTTTCTGGGCAAAGGAATTGGATCCTCATCCCCACCACTTTTTCGTTACAAACATGAGAAAGGATGGGGAAAATCCAGAGCTCTGAAACTAGTTCCAAATATGACTTCATGAAATGATGACATTATAAATTACACACAATATGTCAAGGGTCATGTGCAATCTGGTTTAAGCTAGTTTTAGTGAACATGTTAGCATAGCCACATTTATATTCCATGCTACTTGCCTCCTATGTTAACTCAGAAGTAGTGTAGTTAAAATTATTTATTCAGCTATGATATAACTGATAATGCCACTAACCCCTGCATTTCCCATCTATTACTTCAAATTCCTTTATCAATCCTGTAGGGTTGGTATTGTGGTAATTTCAGATTTTAGGAAAAAAGCACTAAAACATAATTTGCCTGAGATTACAGAGCTAACCAAAGAGAAAGCCTGGGAAGTGACTCCAGATTTGCCCATGAATACCCTACTGACTGTCCCCTCAGCTGCTCTCAACAAGCCTCCATCTTCACATCTCATCTTGAGAGCAAAAAAAAGACTTACATGTGACATATGCTTCTCTGCTCATAAATAAATAAACTCTTTTGAATTCTGTTCTACTCCTTCAGATCCTGCATCACTCCAGTGCCACTGGGGGGTTCTCCCAGTGGCACTTTCTCAACTTTAATGACAATCACATCAGGATTCTTTCTTAAGTGACTTTGATGACTACCAATTCCTTCTACCTCTAAAATGCTGTAATATCTCTTAAAATAAAACGTTCCAGCGCTAAGATATCTGCCTTATACAATTTAAAAAAAATTTAAATCAATTCTGCAGTATAGTTCACCCATTAAGCCATCCACTTCCAACATACAGTACCTAACAATGCTCTTTATTTTTATTGTAATACTGATATGTCCTTTAGAAAGTGTGAAAAGAAATGTATTAATAAGCAATAGAATTAGGAACCAGTGTAGGGAATTTAAACCATCCAGCCCTCCTCTCCAGCCTAAACACACATTGGAGACCTACTTTGCATCCATAACTTATCAAACCCGCAATATTTTCGCATGATTTCAGTAAAGAAATCCACATCTTACATTAGGAGACAAATCTCCCTAAGACCAGTTTTCCACATGGGGGCAACCATGCTGTCATTCCTTAGTTTTGCTTTGGAGGAATGAGAGAAAGCAAAGCAGAGAAACAATGAAAAAAATATAAAAAAATCACCATGTCGGGTGATGTCTCTAGCACACCCAGAAAACGATTCAATGTTTAAATGAAAACACTACCCACCACACGGTTTTGACACTGCGGTTCTCCCTGCTGCCATTTTGCAATTAAAAAATATATATATTAAAGGTCTTGGCTATTGGAAACTTTATATATTCTCAAGCACAGCAAAACAGATTGCAGGCCACGTCACTATTTTATTTCCCACAGAGGCGAAAACTCAATCAGCCCTTTTCTTCCAACACAGCTGCAAACTCCCACTCCGGAGCCAAGACTCCTGAGCCACGCGCCCAGCCAACCCAAAACAAGGCCTGGGGAGGGCGGGGACGCTTCAGAGGGAGAGCGGCCACGAGGGCAGCCTGCGCCAGCCTCGGCGGGTCCCGGGCTCCCCAGAAGGGGTGCAGGGCCCGCGAGCTCAGCAGCCCCTCCGGCAGCAGCCCCGGCTCTGCGCACCTGAGCAGCCCGCGCCCGCCGCGCCCGCCCCGCCCTGCGCCAGGGACCCGCGCGGAGGGCGCCACGGGGGCGCACGAGGCCAGGGGCGGGAGCCCCGCCGCCTCCTCACCTGGTCCCCCCCACATTCAGCTGGACGATCTCGCCGCTGCCAGCCGCTGCTGCGCCAAGGCCGCCGCCCTGCCCGCCCGCCATGGCCGGTGGCTCCGCGCGCGCCCGCCGCGCTCCCTCCCCGGCCGGGGTGGCCGAGCCCGCCGCGGTGGCGGCCCCCAGAGGTGGCGGCGGCGGGCTGGGCGGGGCGGCGGCCGGGGTGCGGGCACCGCCCACGGCCTCCCCCACCTTCGCGGCGTCCCCTGGGGCCCTGGGCACGGCGGCGCGGGAGGGCGGCCCGGCCTCCACTTCTGGCCGCCTCCAGGCCGCCGGCCGGGCCTCCCTCGGCGCCGCCAGCCGCGCTCCGGGCCGCGGCGCTAGGAAGGGTCCCCGCTCGGGACAAAACACTGCAGAGCTCGGGCTCCGCCCTTGCAGGGGCGGGAGGGGAGAGGGAATGGGAGGCGGGGTGGAGGGAGGGAGGGAGAGCCGGCCTGGAGCGGGTGCTGCGGGCCTGCGGGCTACCCACGCGGCCTGGACCCTGCCTCCCCGCCCTCCCCGCCCTCCCCTGGGCGCAGCTTCCAGCCCAGAGCCAGGTTTCCGAGATGGAGGCCAAGTCTGGGCCAGCAGGCGCCCTCCTATTCCACGCGCATTTGGGAGATGAAAGGAAAAAACAATTTAGAGCCTAAATGTCAGTTGGGCCAGCGCCCTGTAAATTTGGGAATGCTGAAACTCTTCAGCGTTTCTTAAGTTGAAACCAAAGCGCTTGCTGCAGCAGAGTCATTGACTTACCCCTCTTCAACCACCTCCATGCCTGCCCCCAGCTGTTTTATTTTGTAAAGCAAGGCAGGAAGCCAGGCACAAACACAACAAAAAACTCAGGCTGTGTAGGGCAACAAGTTTCTGGACTATCGTAAGTATGCAACAAATGATAGAGACATACACACAGTTTTAAATGTATTTATACTCTAAATTATGTATCTTGGAAACAAATACCTTAAACAGAACTAAAATATACTTTTTTAATTGTAATATTATATTACCTGATTCCCACCAGCAACTATACTAGTTATGAACATACAGTGAAGGTTCTGGAACCTCCCCCCCTGGTCTAGCAGGCAAGGAAGCCAAACATCTGAAGAGTAAAGCCATTTTAGCCTGTTCTGTGCAGCAGAAATCAGTTTCTGTAGCAAAAACTAACCTTTTAACCTCCACTAAAACATCAAGAAGCCAAGGAAAGATTTCACAATGGGCACCAGCCTTTGCACCTCCACAGTGCATTCTTCAAAGTCCAGAAAATAATTAATCGCCAGCATTTGACCTCTTCTGGCATAGATAACATCTACATTTCTTAGGTCCACATAGCTTAGGAAATCAAAAGATCTAAACTTAAAATCCAGAAACACCCTGTCAAGGATAATTACATGTTTGATGTTAATGACTCATTGTTCCTTTTTCTGGAAGCATGCTAACTCTATAACAAGCAATATAAAGTGACTAATTTGGGATTGTCTCAGCAGTCCTCAGAATAAAATCTCAAAGACTGTTTCCAGGTTCAAATCCTCACTTTGATTATCCAATAAAGTCTTCCTAAATATCATTGAGAATTTCATTTCAGTCAACAGAGTGGTAAGACTTCATCTAAACTTGACCTAAAATGGGATAGAAGTACTCATAGATAGAAGATAAATATTACCCCAGTTAAAGATAATTGCTATAGTACTTTGTATTTATTAAGGACTTATAATATTTATATATCACCTGTCATTTTTTTTTCTTCACAACTATTATCACTATTTTAAAAATGGAAAACTTGAACTTCAAATGATCCAGAAATTTGCTCAACCTTACATATTCAGCAAGTGGCATAGCAGGACTTTGCAGGGAGACAGTTTGATTTCAGGACCACCAGCACTGACCCTCACATCTTTATATAAGATGAGTAAAACTTCAGAATAAGGGGATAGTAAACTAAGAATACCTCACACTTTTTAACCAAGGAGCTGATTTCAACCAAGAACCTCTACTTCTAATAGAATCTGAAATGGTAAAAAGACCATTTAATTTTCCCCTGGAAGAATGTAAAAGAATACTTGGTAACAGATTTTTCCCTTTAGTGAATCCAAGAGGAAACCGGAGGTTAGAATAAGGTGTTAAAAATAAATTATTTGTGACAAGATCTCTTACTTTTCTTGAAATATAAGAAGCTATTGTCATCTCATTGCACAGTAATTATTATTAGCAAGATGTCTGGTCAGAAAACAGAAGAAGTTTCATTTTATAAAATAAATGGCCAAGACATACTGATGAGTAGAGATCAATATCAGATGTATCTGAAGGCATTTACTTGTAAAACTTACTCTTTAAGAAAAATTTGTGGACTGTGGTGGAGGATTATGGATGTTTTGGTGGTGGGTGTGTTGTGGTGACATACACCTGAATAGATGTGACCCTCTCCCTCTGAATCATATTCTGTGTTGTAAACTAGTGTTTACTCAATAAATTAAAAAAAAAATAAAAATGGAACAAGACCAACAGCAGAATGAGAAAAAAACATTTGCAATATATCAAATGATTAAATATCCATATAGCATATGATTGTATATCATTCTATAGACTGAGAAAACAGAATGGAAAATAAAATAGGCAAGTAATAGAATTAATGAATATGTGAAAATGGGTATTTGAGCTATAAAGATAATTTTTACTTATGAGCTTGGCAAAAATCAAGCAGCCTGGTCAAATTCACTGTTGAAATGGTCACAATTATTGTTGAGGTTTGAGTGACAGTGTTTTTGGAGAACAACCAGAGAATATCAGCATTTCAGAGGTACATGTCCTTGGCTTCTTTTCTAAGAATCAGGAAGTACATGCTCATCATAGCAGTGGTCTATAGCCAAAAACAGTTCAGCAGATTGCTTCCAAAGGAATTTATCTTAAAAGCTATGCTGCTTATTATGGGGCAAATGTGCATGAACTGACCAGAACATCTCAAGTTAGTTATTTGGGCGGGAGGAACAGGAGGGGGTTGGGAGAATCAGGTTACAAATATATTAGGCATACAACCTCATTTATTTGAAAAAAAGTAAAGCTGTGTTTGCATCCACTATATGGAAGTGCACATATTGACTATGAAGAAATATCTCCAAAACAGAATTAGTGTGGAAGGCAGCAGTGATGAACAGACAGAACATTTTAACCCTGAACTTTCACATTGTTTAAATTGTTTATTGTGAGTTTTCATTCATGTGTTACTTGGATGTGCAGGTAAATAAGTAACCAGAGTGGTTCAAAGTTGTCCTCATTACAGTTTTTTTAATTTATTTGTATCATTCACATACTTATGTATGTAAAAATGTTATTCAAGTAACATGGCATTTTTTTAGTGGGTATGTTGAATTTGAAACATTTACTAGGCTAGTACTTTTCAAACGATCTAAGGTGATGGATTTTTTTTATTCCCAATTCATTGGAGATCAATATTTATTCCTACTGCACACAATTAGAACTTACCTCATGTCACATGCAACTGGTTATGTAATTTGACAATATCTAAGCAAACAGGTCTGCATCCTGCTTGTGAGATAAGACCATTGATGATAAGGCAATATCAATCAGCAATATAAGTTCCTAAGCTCTCATTCCCATGTTTGCACCTAGTTCATTACTATTGCTGAGAAGTGAGTTGTGGACGGACTCAACTCCCAGCACACTCTATTACAACATGCAAGTGAGATACTGAGTAAGCAGCTACATATAGGAGTCAGGAGTTTGGGAGGGAGACCCAAATCAAAAATACTCCACTGTATTGGAAATTTGGAAATAAGCAACATAGAGGTTGTTTTATTTTTTTTAAGATTTATTTTATTTATTTATGGATACAAGAGCTGGGATATAGGCCAGAGGGGGTTGGGGGGGGGGGGTGAGAGAATTCACCAGAGACAGAATGGGGAGCATAATAGGCAGAACTACTGAAATATACTGCTCAGGGGTGCAGCAGGCGAGACAGGAGAGGTCTGCTGTGCCATGTGGGTTAGATTGAACTCTTGCTGCAGTGACTGCCAATAGCTTCATAGTGCTGAGACTTAACCCCTTGCACCACGAGGGAGGCCCTATACAAATGGCTTTTAGATCCATGATTATGTCTGAGATCACAAGGGGGTGTGTGGAATGAGACAAGAACAGGTTAGGGAGGGAACCGTTGACTATGAGTATTACAAAGTGGAAAGTCCAGACTAGGGCTCAGGAAGGGGCACAAGCAACATGGAGGAAAGCCAAGGGACTAGCAGGTTCTGTAGGATAATCAGTCAAATAAGGTAAGTACTGGGAACTGACCATGGGCTTTAGCAACACAGAAGAAATTGGTGACCTTAAGCAAGGGTACTTCTAGGGAAGGATGGGAGAAGCAGCATGATTGGTGGACTTCTGATTAAGAGAAGTAAATGAAATGTAAGAGAAATAAAGAAATGGACTGTAACAAATACGGTCAAGATGATGCTCTGATAAAAATAACAACTATATCTTGTTGGAAATAATTCAAAAGAAAGCAAAAACTGGTCATTCAAGAGAGGTGGCAGATATTTACAGGAGTTATAGCTTTGTTTAGGTGAAGGCGATGATATCTAGTGAACAAGTATAAATTAAGAAACAGCCAGCAGGAAAACATGGGGTTTGCTGAGTGTTTGCTGTTCTTTTCATCATCCTTCAGACCCACACTAAGTATAGACACACCCATTATTTGGAGACTGAACCTGACGATATACTTTATCAGATTTTGAAACCATAGGCTTGAGATCATAAAAAGAGAGGAAAACTTTCTACAGACCTGCCAATATCTAGAAGCATACCTTAGAGGAAACACAGCCTTTACAAATACTCCCTTATCACAGAGGCCTTGCCTTCATTCTTCTAAGCCAACAAAGGAAACAAGACAGAATCATAATAGTTAATCCAAGGAAGACATAAGAAAAGGAAAATGAGAATGAAGACTACATGAGATGAGCAGAAAATAACTAGTATAATGATAGTTAAACCTAGTCATATCAATAACCACACTGGCAATGGTCAGTACATTCCATTTAAAGGCAGAGTTTGTCAGACTGGATAAACAAC